GGGGGGGGGGGGGGGGGGGGGGCGGACCGGATCATGCGGACGTAACATGTGGTGCTACGAGATTGTTCAGCTGTTGGCCAGGAGTCTTTTCAAGGCGTGGGTGAGGCGAGCGGTGTGGGGCTGGGAATAGGGCTTTCGCCCAATGCACATCGCTGTTGTTGCTGTTGTTCCTGACATGGTTGAGCGATCTTTGATTGTTGTCGACACGTCTGTGTCCCTCTCGGTCTGTCTCCTTCATTCTCTCCCTCCTCTCATCTTTCCCTCTCTCACCCTCTCTCCCTTTCTCTCACGTCCCCCCTCCCCCCCCTCTTTCCGACACTCTTTCGACAAAAATGGACAGCTGCCTGCTGGTTATTGTGAGCTGGGCTCCCCTGACCGAGCACCTCACCATCGACCTCTTCCGCTCGCTCTTCGGTATTGTCGAGGTGAGACTGACCTACCCCCCCGTCCCCCCCCCCTCCTACTCGTCACGGCAGAGATGCGGATGCGGATAAAGACGTGTCTTTTTAAGCCACAGAGGCACCCACGAGTTGCAGCCTTGTATCGTAGCTCTAGATGTGCTCTAATCCACACCCCGTAATGCGCCCTCTGCGATGAAAAAATCGCACAGAACAGCTGCTGGCTGCACGTCCGCAGCCCATCAAGCCGCGCGCGCAAATCTCCCGTTTTGGAGTCCTCGGGTGTCTTTTAGGATTCCAAAGGCAGCGTTCCGCATGGCCTACGGTGCTTAGATGGGTTTGGACTCTCGTCACACCCACCCCTCTCACTGCCCACCACCAACACACCGGGAATACTAGCAGTGGTAGGTCTATGCACAACTTGTAAAGCAACGCATCTTAGCGGTAGTCTTGCAAGCATTACCGGAAACAGCGTCTGCGGCACGATTTCTAACTGTCCTTTGGTTGATGTCTTGGATACACGGCAGGCGGCGGCGCACGGCTCGGGGGGTGGGGGCGGATACAACGTCCCCGGAGCCCCGTCATTGCAGGAGTGCGGCGCAACCTGTGTGGCGTGCGTCACGGAGGTAAGAAAAAGAGTACGGTGCGACACAAAAGCGGAGGAGAGCGAAAAAACTGCGGGGGGAGGAGGGGGGGGGGGTTGTGATGGAATATCACGCTGCGGGGACCCCCTGTGGTCCAACCCCCACGCCATTCCCGCCCCGTTTGCCAAGACTTTTTTATAGAATCGCTCGTAGTCGCGGCAATTTTCATCCCTCTACCGCTCTGCCCCCCTTCCTCCCATCGGTGATCGGTGCTCGATCCGTCCTCACGAGGACGCGTGGTTAATGGTCTCACTGCTAAGGCTGCAAGAGCATGAGCACACATACACACACCCTTCCCCCCCTCCTGCCACTGTCGCGCAGGTAGTGTCGAAACGTTTGCTCCCGCCTGACCAGCAGGAGCTGGTTTTCGGCATGGCCGATCACATGTTAGCGCTGCTCAAGATCGCCACTAGGTGCGCGCGGTGGCGATGTTGTGTGGCGTATTATGGAGGTGGTGGTGCTTGTTGTTGCTGTGGCTGTGGCTGTTGGCGTTGTGGTGATGGTGGTGGTGGTTTGGTCCCTCGTGGTTGCTACCCTCTGCTGCTGTTGTGTTTGTTGTGTTGTAGTTTCAGTGGCGCTGCTCGCTGTGGCATCGCTTCCCGTCGGTCGTGTTTTCTTTTTGCACTTCCATCTCAAACGTCCACCCACGCCCCCCCCCCCCCCCCCCCCCCCCCCCCCCCCCNCCCCCCCCCCCCCCCCCCGTCTATAGCGAGGGGAGCATCCGACCCGGTCTCGAAGAAGACTTCTTGATGCAGATGGCGGAGTTCCTGGGGGCGTTCATGGAGGCCAACCTAGGAAGGGTCTTGGGGATGGGTGAGACGGCACATACAGCAGTGCCTCAGGAACAGGCTTCGTTTTCGAGTGTGTTGGATCGGCGAACACACGTGCCGGGAAGATGTTGACTGTGTTTGCTCGGCGTGAAACAGGCCATGCTTGCTAGAGGTTGGATTCCGGAACGCACGCAGACGACTATTCATTTTCACAAACGTGCGCAACGAGTGCAAGTATGCACCTGGTACAGCACCTCTCCCCCTGCCTCATCCCCCCGAACCCTTAGAGCTCTTCAGCACTATTTCTACATTAATTGATGAATTGGGTTCTCTTTGAACTGCACGTGCAGGCGGTTCTGGCGCCTGGTGGGGGGGGGG